TTAAAAGGTATGTCAAGTGCTCAAATTGTTCAAGAAGTGACACTGAAAATATCAGGGTACCTCGTATCTAGTGGACAAAAAGTTACCGCAATATTGGGAGTATTTGTACACGATCGACTCTCAAACCGATCATCCGATACGCCTACTTTCAGCATCGGCCTACTTTTTCACCGAAATAGGTGCACCTCACCCCGCCGAAGGGTCCACAAATAGTTTCGACAAACTTTGCACTCGAGACTAGTACGCCCGTTTCCATAGATGGTCGTCCGATCGTCAGTAAAAAATCGAGGTATAATTGGCAATTTTGTAAAACCTACTTCCTAGAAAAATTAGATTGCTAACCACCATCCACAACTAGTCGGCCTCTCTGTTTCCTCATAGTCTAATGATGTTGGCTTCGTAAAAAGTATGTATAGTGTAAAAAATTGATCGCTTGTTAGCGATGCCCAGGATGTATGTTGCATAATTAATCAGTTGACAAAAACCAATCGTACACAACTGCCACCACGGACAATATATCATATGTGGTAACGACAAAATGGAAATCTTGTGTGGTTCTATATGTGTGTAGGTCCGTCCGCAAGTATTTCCCCGTATGCATTCTTTAGATCTTGTGTCGTATATACTTTTAAATTAATGCGTACGTGTCATCGACTTTGAGCATCATTTTGGTTATTACAGCTTATGTCGACGTACGAATTTACATAAGCGTAGCTACTACATCGAATCACCAGGGCAAGACTACGCCCATCAGCCACTCATCCATAGGTCGTAACAGCGATTCGAGGTTATAATTAGTATAAAGCAAACGGTGTAACTCACCTACTTCAGATAGCAACGACTTTCAGCCAATTTGTTCGATCAAACACAAGCATAATAATAAGATAGTTGACCAGCTCAAATAGCGACATTTTATAGACTTGCATCAGAAAGTGCTCACGAGTCCGTTTAAACAAGTCACTTACTTCTTACGGATTAATAAAAGAACGATTGTTGGTTTAGTTGTTTGATAACGGTGATAAACAACCTGCCGAAATGTTAAATGCAAGGTACTGCTCTCTACCACAGTAACATCTAATAAGCCTCTTTCTAGGTGGCTAACATGTGCCAGCACTTCATTAGCGTGCTCATCACTACACTAGTTTATGTACCAGGGACACCATAAGGTCCACGTACTCTTCCGTAATATATTCTGTGTGGTTGTACCACCCGAGTGTATCACTGTTACATTACTTTTACCTTGCGGAAATGATTGCATATTGCTAGTAGCGCACAGCTGCCTATTCCTATCCTAGACTAGATTTATCTGGCCGGCTTAGTATATTTCACTGAAGAAATATTGACCCCAAAAGCTTGTACACTTGATTTGAATGCATCCCGTTGCTGTGCAAGCACAATTTATCTTGGCTTTTCCGAATGGTATGTGAAATATACTGTACAGTTTTGCTTACCTATGTAGTCAGGAGGCTCTAATACTCGACAATGGTATCTCTGGACAAGAGTAGAATACATTGAACCCAGCTTTTTCTGCTGACTCAAAGCCTGTATCGTATGTGGATCTACATGGCAACCTAGATATACGCATACAACAATCATGTAACAAGCTTTCGCCGTAGAAATTGAGATGATACGAAATGTCTCTTTTCGCCTGTAGTTACCATCGATGTTGGCTTAACCTTAAAGCAGGATTTGATAAGCTTGCTCTATGCTTTTACGAAATATATATGCAATCATAAATCTTAGTTTTTGCTCTCTCCCGAACCCGAATCGACTACAACTTGTGAGCACGCTAAAGCATCAGCTCACTACAAATGTAGAATGACCCTTGTTGAATGCTGTAGCTGATAATTTTGCCTGCCAGCTAATTCTTTGTCAAATCTGTCGGTCATCATGTCGGCTGTAAGTCACATGACGCCTATCTGATGATATTTGCCTGTCGTATTACTGCAACGAGGATCAAGTTTCGGTTGGCCACTTGTAAGGTCGTTGCGTGAAATTGTTGTGTACGCGCAAAATTCAGTCAAACGAGAGTGTAGTGTACGAGTTTATAAATTGTTACGACGTACAAAATATTAGCGTCCACGCGAGGTGAATGTTCTAGTTTATAGTAAATGCTATCTCAGGCATTAGAATTCCCCTTGTGGATGATATCGTTCGATCGGGGTGGCCAGCTTGCATTCAGCTAAACGCCTCCATTTGCAGAACTGTGTGTCTTATTTTTAAATATCCACAAAAATTCACTAAGCGTCTATGGTGGGTACGGCTAAATTCGAATCATCAGTAGGTGGCTCAGATGCGAAAGAAAACACAGACAGACACATTGATCTTTGGAAACTTCGTCGCAAATAAGGTTCAGCCTATAACGCAGTAGATTTTCACAATAATTGCGTCCTACTATATCATTATCTTTTCGTAGTTACTCGGCATTAAAGTGAGGGGAGATACCGAAGACATCTATGCGAATTGATGACCTCCTTTTGTACGTTCATTTGATACTGTACAGAGTCATATTGTCGCTCACGTCAATAAGGAATCATAACTACCTAAAGCGGAACTGTCTTTTGTTCCTGCCTTTGGTCTAATCACTATGTCGTGAGATTTGGGAGTGCAAGCACGCCACAAAGTATGATGATGCCCATTTATTTACGAAAAAAGGCGCGACAACGCTACACAAACATCATGTTATGTTTACCGTGGACATCACTCACGCGCCCAATTTTATCGCCCTACATAGTGTTTATCGAGTCACAACGACTTACAATGCTGGGTATTTATGCTTCACTATCATAAAAGTAAGACAGTCATTGAAGTAACGGTGCAATTTGTCGTCGTGTTGCACCTTCATTGGTGTTGTCAACAATGTCAACATCCTACGCGAAGGATTATTCAGTTGTTGGGTAACATTCTCGGTAAGAAGACATAAAATCGAAACAATTGCACATAAGCTGCATTGAAGATATCGTCGGCGGGTGCTGACATGCCACAATTCATCTGCATAATTACCTTTGCCCAGTGCACCTGCAATATCCTCATTGTAGCAGTATCGTCACAAACTCTCACGTACGGTCATTTATCGGCATGCTTCGTCATCATTACGGGGCGAACGATGTTCCCTTCCATTCTATTGCTGAACAATCCTGTTGCCGATTGTAATTTTACAGGGACGATTTCATCAGTGGTCGATTGCTAAATTAATATCTTCGTTGACTTGGCGCTATTTGTTGCAAAGCTGCCACGATGTTGATTGCCATTGTCTTGTGCGTGATCATACAATCGAATCTCTGCGCATTTTTTGTTGGTCCTCTTCCGCATGTCAATCATGATATACCAGTAAGCTCTACAGTTTGAGTAAGTTGGTCATCGCTTTATATTCCCAATGCTTCACGTCAACTATCAAGCCTGTGTCTTCATTCCGCTCTGAGACCTCGCGTACATCAACGTTTTCGTGCAATAACCCATAGACGTGTCTTTCTGTACATGACTCAAAATTGCGATTCTAGCCATGACGAAAGATTCCTGTCTTCCTGTCTTCGTTCTTGCAGAGTCCCTACCCTCCGTATTTTGTGCCCACCTTTTCTGTCATATGCGGCATTCTTCAAGGACCTAGGTACAATGCATAGCAGTTGGACTACACGCTATCGCTTTCGTGCGGTAAATGGTCCGTTATTAATCAATCATAAAAGGTAAACTGGGGGAGAGTTGGGGGCGTAGGAAAGATGTGTAAAATTGTCTAAGTTGAGGAACTTCTAATGAACGGTAACATTGTAGTGTCGCAATCGAAATAAAGGTGCAGCTACTCTACAGCAACTTGACACGAAACAGACCAATGTACTTGTGGTGAGGTGGATTCTATATAGAGACCCTGATAGTCTCGCAATACCCTTTGCGAAGTTTTTCACGTGCAGAGTTTGTATCCAAAGTTCCGATATACCGGGATGCACCGAGATGCGGGTAAACTTGCTGCAAAACAACGATCTCAAAGACGTCGTTGTGGAGGGCGACGCAGGCCACTTTTCAAATTACGTCGATGCTCACGATCTCGCAATCATGGACTGTATCGACATGGCGAAGTTTCTCGGCGAAGCAGATATAGCATCTACCGTACGCACGTCAAGGGCAAGGCCAACTGCCGACAGGTTGGCAATGACGTACCAGCAAACTGCAACATCTTTACGTGCATTATGAGCCGTATATCGAACACTGGTCAAATCGACACGCCGCGTTGCTGCTACTTTTCTTCTTCTGCAATTTGCCACGCTCGTACGAGCTGACTGTCATCGATGTTTGCTTTCCAACCTGGTAACAGCATGTTACAGGTGTTTTGCATTCCAGTCAAGTTGATCGAATTCTATGGCCATTGACCATGCCATGAACACCGGGGGACTGAGCCGAACTGATCGAGCTAGTACGTGGTAGACTCAAGTGCTGCTACTCTTCCGAAGTGACATATTGTTATTGTGCGCGGAATACGAGCCGTTTACAATGTGCTCCAAACTACGGCAACAAACGCGGTAACGCTCGCGTTGTTGTCTTTGCATTTTGACTTCCACATGTATTTTGTTCCAGCGAGGTCTCCCTTCGTCGATCGTAGAGGCGATTTTGGTTCATGGCGACTGCCAAGATGAGGACACCAACACGGAACAAGCCAACGCCAGCTGGATACCAACGTCGTGATCTGGACATCGTCACTCAGGCACATCGTACGCCATTCAGTGTGACGTGCTATTCTCTGGGTGCTGGTCTCTGCGCAAAAATGGGACCGCGTCTTGTGGCAAAGGGGATGTATGATCTCTGTTGACACATGTTTCGATTGAATTGCCGTAGTTTGGCAGAATATACTTTGCAGAGCATCCTAAACGTCTCACTTTAACCTATGCTCACATTGTGCCTTCTAGCGGATCACCCATTGCTGCTCTCAGGTCGAGGGTGGACATCCGCAAGGCAGGGCCGACCCCTATGCACACGCGGACACCTATCCGACACACAAAATATTTAGTGAGTTACCCACTCACACCAACAATGACAACACCAATTTCGTGTCCCCGTACCTCGTCGCCCAGCCCAGTAGCGTCTGAGTCAGCACCCGATACTGCTGCTTCGTTCGGCAAGTAGCTTTGCGTTAGCTCTGCCGGCGCGTCGTGAGACTCGACCCATGCCATCTCCAGCGGCTTATCGGCAAACATATTACCGTGACTAAACGCGGCCTGACCACCATACCGATCTTGAAATTTAATGAACCCCAGACCTGGACACGACTCGTCCATCACGACACGTTCGACAGTGCCAAAGTTGCCGAAATGCTGCGTTAGCACGACGGGGTCGCGTGCCTCCTCGGGCAAATTTGCTACTTTTACAATCGTTGTACGATTGTCCAGCGTGTGCGCGCCGCGACCGTAACCACCTCGGCCTCGACCGCCTCGACCTCCTCGATAGCCGCGACCAGAAGACCATCGACCACCACGACCCCCGGAGGCCCCCGAAGCCTCGGCCTCCAATGCACTGAGTTCTTCTTTCAGACCATTCAAGTTTCCACCGCCTTGGCCTGAGATAGCTTGCTGCGTCGCGATCGCGTTTGAGGGAACAGCAGAATGACGAGGAGCTAGCGCCTTGAGCTCTCCGGACAGCGCTGTGATCTTATTCAATAGATCACGCTTCTCCTCCAGCGAGAACTGTGAGCTGTTGAAACTCATTCGCTCCAACAGTTCTTTCTGCTGAGCCAATTGTCGCTTGATCAGTCCCTCTTTCTGTCTCTTTATCGCACGCTGCTTTTCCAACAGTTCGCGCTTTTGTTCCAAGACCAATCGACCTTTTTCTAATGCTGCTACGCGAAGCTCCTCAGTCGACATATTTTTCTCGGGCTTTGCATCGGTTGACTCTTCTCCGCTGCCAGCCTCGTCTCCATCCCTCATTGTAGCGACACTTCTGGCAGCTGCACCATTACTTCCAGACATCTCTTTCGACGCGTCATCCGCTTGTTCAACGACGGCTGCCTCTCGTGGGCTCTGGGTATCGTGCTTGGCCCATTTGACTGAAATAAAGCGATTGTTGCACACAGGAAGTGGTGAATGAAACGCCTTCTTCGCCTCGTCTTCGGTTGCATACTGAACGAAAGCGCATTTCGCGCTAGGCCGCATCTGCACATTCACCACGTTGCCAAACTTGGAAAAGTGCAGGCTCAGCATGGTCATGTTGACGTACTTTGGATCAACGTGTCTAACATAAAGCGTCGCCTTTGCCGTTGGTGCCTCGCCAGTATCCCTATCTCTACCGCCACGTCCTGAATAGTACTGACCGTGTCCTCCCCTCCCTCCATGCCCTCCAGGCGGAAAAAACTGACCACGACCACCCATCGGGTGTGGCATCATCAAGTGCGGTGGTGGCATCATATTGCTCTTGTCCACCATATATCCGTTAGGATCAAAGTCTGGTGGGTAGCCAGCGCCTCGAGGAGGCGGAAAAGGCGGAGGCCACATGCCTCGTGGTGGCATACCCCACTCCATTGGAAAATTTCGACGGTGATCACCACCACCCATGCTGTAAGGTGCTCCTCCACGTCCAGCCATGGCGCTATTGCGCATGCTTTCGTCATACAACGGATACGGCTGGCGCCGACCGCAGCTGACGTCTCTTCGTGGACTGCCCTGATGTCGCTTGTAGTCACTCTCTCGAGGCCGATCGTCGTCACGACGTCGCTTCGCATACCGTCGCTGCTCGTCTTCGCTGACTGCGACGTTGCGCTCGTAGTGTCGGCTACTGTCGGCGCTGTAGCCGCTCACGGTGCGCGACTTTTCATCGCTCGTTCCTTCGTTTTTTGTCCCGCCACCTTTATACGAGCCGTCCGCCAGTGCTTTGAACAACTTGGCGACAAAACTTGTGGTCTCTGTTCATTTGCACAGGCGAAAGAGAAAAAGGGCACAAACAGTCAGACAAAGTGTCCCCTGCACCTCCTACGCACTGAACGCTCCAAGAAAAAAGGCACACAAGCGCCACACGCACCTTCGCCGAGGAACTCGTCGAGCTTCGCCACGCACGTGTCCTGCAGTCCCACTTGCCGCGGGTCGTGCTGCACGAGCGCCAGTACATATTTGCTCAGCACCTCAGGGTCGGCGTCGCTTCTGTTCAAGGAGATGCACGAGATTTGCGTAATGTCAGTACCTGTCCACAGCGCTTCGACAACGCGATGAACGTATAGGCGTAGCGATCGACAGATTGAAACGTGTGGAGCGAGTGATAGGTAACAACATCGCATTGCGCTGCGTACACTGGCTCGAGGTTGAGGATAAGCCATTCGCGCAGGAACTCCTTCTCGTCGCTGTCCATTGGCAGCAGCAGCAGCAGCGGCGTCGGGCGCGGCGGAGGAGGCGGCGGAGGGGGAGAGCTGAGGGTGCCGCGCGCTGGCAAGTGGGGAACCAGTCAGTCGTCAGCCGGCGACCAATGGCGAGAAGACGCGCGATGTCACTTGGGCTTTGTATGGGCTCCGCGAACCCACGGGTCGCCCATCCGAGAACCCACCGATCAGCGTAGTTTGGTGTGCCGTACATCAAATCCACGGCAGGCGAAGAGAGCAATGGGAGCCGCTGGTTCGCGCGAGACGGCGGCAGCGGCGCGGGCGTTTGTCGACCGCGTCACGACGGAGCACAGCGTCACGGTCTTCAGCAAGACGTACTGCCCGTATTGTACCATGGTGCGTGCGGCGCTGTGCGAGCGTCGAACACGCAACGGCTGTCGATTTGTTTAGGCTGATCATTTGTTACAAGTATTTGTAATTGATATCTTTTGTTGACATTTTGTGGTGGCAACTCATGTGTTGTTGGATGTGTGGACAGGCCAAAGATGTGCTGAACGAGGCGGATGTTCAGTACCACGTGGTCGAGCTGGACACGATGACTGGTCATGAGTTTTCGGGCGCTGACGTTCAGAATGCACTGGCGACTGCAACTGGTACAGTGGCGACAGACGATGGGCGTCCATGTGACGACTATACACTGGAGCTGATTGAGTTGTTGTTGTTGTTGTTGTTGTTGCTGCTGCTGCTGCTGCAGGCCGTAGGACAGTGCCCAATGTCTTTATCAAGAAGGAGTCGATCGGCGGCGGCACAGACGTGCAGGCTCTGTTCCAGTCAGGCAAGTTGATCGACATGCTGCGGTCGGCAGGCGCGCTGTGAGTCGAGTGAGTGCGTGGTGAGTATATGTATGTGTACGATGCTGCTGATGCGGTCGTATTGACAACCATTGTGTCGTTGTATTGTATACAGCATGATGTTGCTCTGCTTCCTTGTTGCGTTCAAAGTGCAAGGGATTTTGCACTGAACTTGCATGAGGGCGCGAATGCACAATGCAGACCGGTCCAAAGTGCATACAGACGGGTGACTTTGGAGTAATTGCGGAAGCGTCGTATCATTTGTTATGCAGAGTATTCATTGGGTGTTTGATAATGAACGCAAAACTTGGCAATACTTAGCCCACGCGCACTAAAATGGACGAGCTACGGTATCCTGTGCGCGTTGACGTGGGGACCGGTGTCTTTAGTGGTATAAGCAGCGTAAGAGGGTATAAGCAGCGTTTGAGTGATCGTACGACCTATGTTCGCCGGTAGACCATGATCATCCACTTTCTCGGCTGTTAAAAAGGCGTAATCATCAATCAGTCGATGCCTCAACTGATTTGTCGAGCCCGAAATTCGAGCTTCGCACACCCTTGACTATTTTCTGAGTCCGCATCAAATACCGATATTGTACCGGTACTTCACCACCACGTTGCAAGCACCGCGATCCAAACTCGGTTCCAATGTTTAGTCATCTTTTCTCGACGCCTCTGCTGCTCAACAGCTCACGAATCTCACACCGTCTTTTGACACTAAAAGTTCCCGCAACGTCTTCAACGAGAATGAGCGACAAGCGCTTCGACGTGATCGTGTACGGCGCCACGGGCTTCACAGGAGCGCTCGTGGCCCGGTACTTGGCCAGCGAGTCCGAGTCGTCGCTCGGCAGCCCCACAGCCGTCAAGTGGGCGATCGCCGCTCGAAGTGCGACGAAGTTGGCGCACGTGAAGGAGCAGCTCAAGGCAAAGCTGCCGGAGGTGGACCCCTCGTTGATCGACGCTATTCCAGTGGTCGTCGCAGACAGCAGCAATGAAGAGTCGCTCGTCCAGATGGTGCAGCAGACGAAGGTCGTCGTGTCGCTCGTTGGTCCGTACAAACTCTACGGTGAGCTGTTGATCAAAGCGTGTGCCGAGAACGGCGTGCACTACTGCGATCTCACGGGTGAGATCGTCTGGGTCAACGAGATGATGGCGTCTTACGGCTCCGCGGCCGCCAAATCTGGCGCTGTGTTGGTCAACTGCTGCGGCTTTGAGAGCATTCCGTCGGACCTCACGGCGTTCGTAGTAAGTGATTACATCCAGCAGAAACGCCACGCGAGCACGAGTGTCATTGACCTGTACTATACTGCGGTCAAAGGCGAAGCCAGTGGGGGCACGCTAGCATCGGTGTTTACAATCATGGAGACGTCGACGACGAAGCAGCTGCGAGCTTCGCGCAATCCTTTTTTCCTCACAGACGAGAAAACAATTGCTGAAAAGAAGGCCGCAGGGCTGGTTGAGCCCAATACGACTGGCATCCTCGTGCGTTATGACAAGGCCATGCGCGCCTGGCATTCGCTGTTCATCGGTGGCTCAGTGAACCAGGCTGTCGTGCACCGAAGCAACTACCTTTTGCAGAACAAGTACGGCCGTAACTTTGTCTACCACGAGCGAATGGCCATTGGCGGTTTGTTCATGCAAGTGCTTGCAACCGTTGGGACAGTCCTCGTGACCACTGTGCTCTATTTCAGCTGGACCCGTGCACTGCTCAAGCGTCTAGTGCGGGCTCCTGGTCAGGGGCCATCGGAGGAGACCATGTTGAAAGGCTATTTCGTCGTGGACGCCGTCGGGTACTCGGAGGATGGCAAGTTGGCGGCGAGGGCAAAAGTTGTTGGGTCAGGAGACCCGGGCTACCGTCTCACGTCGCGACTTGTGGCTGAGTGTGCGTTCTGTCTCGCCAAGGACGAGTTTGGCGAATCGTCGCATCTCGAAGGCGGCTTCTACACGCCGGCCAGCGCTTTTGGTCACAAGTTGGCAGACCGCTTGCAGAAGAAGAACCTGATTACTTTCGAGCTCAAGGACGTGGAATAAGTCACGGCAGGTGGTAGCAGAGTGCTATGACTGTAGTTTGCTGGTGTCAAACACAGCGTCAGACGTTGGAAGGGCTTGCAATATGGGTTGAGTTGAGGAGACAAGTATGCTAATGATCTCGCCTGCAATTGGCCCATCCGTTCATCTTGATACTGGTCAATATATGCCACAATGAGCTAGTGGAAGTAGTAGTAGTAGTAGTAGTAGTAGTAGTAGTAGTAGTAGTAGTAGTAGTAGTAGTAGTAGTAGTAGTAGTAGTAGTAGTAGTAGTAGTAGTAGTAGTAGTAGTAGTAGTAGTAGTAGTAGTAGTAGTAGTAGTAGTAGTAGTAGTAGTAGTAGTAGTAGTAGTAGTAGTAGTAGTAGTAGTAGTAGTAGTAGTAGTAGTAGTAGTAGTAGTAGTAGTAGTAGTAGTAGTAGTAGTAGTAGTAGTCGTCGTCTTCGTAGTAGTAGTAGTCGTCAGGCAGATGACCAGTTCAGTGCACGGTTTTGGATCAGCTCGGAGATTTTATCAGGACACGTAAATATAACGAATCGGATATTTAAAAAACACCATGATAAAGCCACTTAGCGGTGGTTTTTATCCACATCATTTCAGCTTCATTACAATATTTTACAAAGTTCTGCGAGTTAAAGGAAAAAAGGTCAAATTTGGGCCCATTTGGCTGGGTACCGGTTTAGTGCACAACTATTGGCCGGATTCTTCTGGTAGCATTTCTTTGGTAATCGGCCAGCCTGCGATGTCGATCGTTGTTCTACGCTTCTTCTGCTTGCGTACAGGCTCTAGAGGGAGAGAGAGGATCGCATTCTGTGTTGGAAGTGCAAGTTGCACTTAGGTCGACTCCAGAGATTCAACCTACACTAGGGCATATATGGAATGTTCTGCAAGGTTCTATGTGTTGTATTAGGCAGCACAAAGATATAGGTTGGGTAGTTCTCACTTGTATTTTGACAAGCCACTGACGAGGCCCCTGGCGGGAGGCCGAAACGCGTCTGGCGCGCGTTTTAATACAGGTCATTTCATTTACTTAATGTCCTCTTTCTAATATTCTGGACTGCGGTGACCACATTCGGGCGGCGAACAAGCCAGGAAACATTGCCAAAGACCCCTTTTGATCCCCCAGCTTGACACTCACCAAGACGATTGTGGAGTTGAATATGAGAGAGATGGGATATTCCAGTACCACGGAAGTCCTCAATTATCTTGCTGGGGTTCTCAATGATAGTGCTGCGGTATACATAGCACGCAATCTCATTGGCTGTCTTTTGGATAGCGCTGGGTCCGCCGTTTCATACATTATAAGCTGTGGACGCTCGCAAGGATTTCTTGAAAGGCTTATGCACGGCCACGTCAAGTAGATGGAAGAAGTGTGTCGCGCTTGCTGGCAAGTCGATCATCAGGTTGCCGTGTTCGCAGCAGCAGGTCACCAACTCTAAAAACAAAACCCGGATAAAGTGATTATGAGCAAGAATAGAATGATGAAAAGGTTTTGCAGAGCTTACCCATATTCACATGCGTGGAAAAGTTGTCCAACCTCAAAATGACTGGCTTTTTTAACCCCCTGGGCTTCCAGCACGATCGAGGAGATCTTCAACTAGTCATTGAAGATCTTGGCATTGCTGAATCCCTCTGGCGCACCTGTGGCGCGCGCTCCGTCGATTAGGAGCGCTGCGAGCTCTGTCTTGAGCAGGCAAACTCCAGGGAGGATATTGAGGGGAGGGACAGTAAAACCAGACGTACTGACGACCGCCACCATGGACATGCAGAATTTGGGCTTGATCTCCTGCGTCCACACATTTTAGAGCCTTTGATGACAATGACGGTGCGAGTCGTAAGCTACGGCGCAAACATAGTCTCGTCTAAATTGAAGACCTGCGACGATTCGACTATATCATCGATGAGCAGCTTGGCCATCGTGTCGAAAATCACGTCGACCGACGACTTCCCCATGGCGTTTCGCACTCTCCCGGCGCTCTGCGCAGTTCGTGGTACGATCACCTGGTGGCTAACGAGGAAGCGCGAGTACCATCCAAACGTCAGTTGTGTCGACTATCTGGCTCTTGTGGGCTTTTGCAGCGCGTCGTAGATCATGATGGTGCGCCTCGTGGTCCCTATGCGGACAACAAGTAGGCCCACGCGCTGCATGGCGACAATTTATTCCACCATGTGGCTCTCAAGATCTGCTGATATTGAAGGCTTTATGCCGCAGAGCAGCCCCTTAATCAGGATCCCGCTTTTCTTGTCCTTCGCGTTCTTGAAAAACGTACGTAATGGAAGAGACGACGTCCGCGCGACCTCGGCGTACGATTCATCGTTGCGAAATCTCCCGGTCGAAGACGTCTTGCTTCTCGAAGTACCCGCAGCGCATTACCGTCTGTTTCCTCTTCTTGGTTTGTTTATAGAGAAATTACATAGAATAGGACACTTTTTATCGGAAATTCGTAGAATAGGACACTTTTTATTTATTCACAAGATAGGACACTTTTAAGTCTTTATGGTCTGAGTCTCGCGAGCGACGCAAGGAAGTCCCCTTAAGTTCCCCCTCGCAGTCTCAAAAGATCATCTCCGAGACATCATCTCGCAAGATCACTCTTCCCATCGCTCCAAACCTGCTTCTTTTACAGAATTCTCAACCAACCGTCATGCCACCTACCATCACTCCCGACGTGCCAGCTTTAAAAGGACCATCCTTCGCTACTATGGATGAAGCAATGATGGTCATTCGATCACAGGCATCAAAAGATCACGTCAGCTACAAAGTCTCCGACAGAAACAAGACCAGATCCTACCTCAAGTGTTCATGTGACGAATGTTCTGCATATGCCCGCATATCATTCCACAAAAAACCTGAACAATTTCGTATCAGTCTGGTGCAAGATCAGCATTCATGCCAAGGATCGCTTGAGAAATCTTGGGGGTCCCAGCGTGAGCACACATTTTTGGTAAAGCAGCTTCGCGAAGGCATGACAGTGAACAGCAAGGCTCCTATTAAGGATGTCCAGTAGTTTCTAAAACAAAAACTTGGTGTCGACATTCCGTATACTACCGCTTACAAAGCAAAGGAAGCAGTGTGCGCTGAGACAATCAATGCGCAACGGGAGCAGTTCAATATGGTGGAAGGCTATGTTCAATGTCTACTTCGTGAGGATTCCGAAAATATTATGAAACTCGAAAAAACACAACAAGTTTCAAGCGAAAACGGCATGGAAACACGATTCCATAGTCTATTCATCGCTCCGGGTGCAACGAGATATGCTTTTCAACACATTCGCTGCTTTGTGGCTGTTGATGGGACCTTTACCAAAACCCGCTTTGTCCAGATCCTTCTTTTGGCTGTGTCAATGGATACTCAGGATGAACTGGTGATTTTGGGATGGGCGGTTGTTCCAAATGAATGTGAGGAGACGTGGGACTGGTTTTTGACTAGCTTGGGGAAAGCGCATCCTGGGATCAACGAACGTGGAAGTGTAGCGGTAAATGACCGTGAAAAAGGGCTGATAAACTCAGTGGCAAAAAGTCTTCCGAACGCTCATAATGCCTTTTGTTGCTATCACATTGCTGCAAACGTTCAGACTTAACATAGAATAGTCATCAAAAGGTATGTACTATCCGAGTCAAGCTGTTGGGGAATGATGGAAAGTCATGATTGACACTGATCCGTATGTTTTGCTACATTCGACTCTTCTGGAAATGCGTCTTCGCCGATAACAAAGCTGATTTCGACGAGTTTATCGATCAAATCTGTAAAATCAAGCCTCTTGCTGCCGATTACATAATAGAAATCCCGCACAATCAATGGGCAGCATACGCTTGTGACGTTCACCGTTTCGTGCATGTCACTTCAAACTTAGCAGAGATTGCAAACTATTTTCTGAAGCAGATGCGGGAATGACCTTTTCTTCAGATGCTGGACGCTTTGGCCACCAAATGGAGAATTTTCATAAACGGGCGCAGTCAGCAATTGGTTGGGTTGCACCGTTGGTGCCGATGGCGATGAAGAGATTTGGTGAGGAGTTGAATGCTGCTAAGATGTACACCGTCTTCCCGGAGGAACAAACTTGTGGAACGGTCGTAGGTGGATCAAATCACCAATATGTGATCAACCTTCCAACTCCGGATCGTCCGATCGGCACCTGTGGAAGGTATCAGAACTTCCTTCTGCCTTGCCGCCGCGTTTGTGCGTTTGCATTGAAAGTGAAGGTGGTCATAATCACACTAGTCGACAAATTCCACACCGTTGACACCTATCGCGCAACATACAACCGCCCATACGTTCCAGTCTTAATTGTGAATTTCTCGCTGTCACCACTTTTACCACCAAAGTTTTCTCGGCCCCGGGGGCGACATGTTAAGAGACGCAAGGAAAGCGGTTTTCAGCAGAAAGAGATGAATAGGAAACCTTGCCAGACATGTGGACAGCTTGGGCACAATAGGAGAACTTGTAGGGAGGCTCATATGTGATCAGGTTGAAGGAGGAGGGGCGGAGCGAAATTACAAAGAAGAAGGCGGGCGAGAATCTGTATTGTAATTGTTTACTTCTCCTCTCAATGTTTGTTTTGACGCAGTATTTATTAACACGAATTCTGTAGCAACGGGTAGCGGCCGATTTAGTCCGTATCTCCCGTTGCTTACACGTGTCAGTACTTGACGTCCCCCTCCCCTCATTTAGTCTCGTCAAAGCAATGAACAAGGACAATGTTCTTGATTAAATCCCTGATGTAATACATCCTCCGATGAAACGTCTACAAGCAACTCATTAGAAACAGCAAAACAGTATCTCATAAAAGTCGTCCATAAAAACCCTCTAATTCGTACTGCAAAAAAACACACCAACTTACGGAAATCTCTGCAGAATGCACATAACTTCCCAATATGATGACCTCTCGGCTGATCACCAGATTTGCTCGGTCCTCACGAACCTTCAATTTTGACACATCAAGTCGGGCGTCAGCATGACATAACAGTCACCAAGAACTTGGCAGGACCACTCAAGAACCATCGC